GTATCATATTATTACAACATTTCATTAATATTATATGTCACATATTATGTCACTTGTCAATCTATTAATTATTCATTTCAAATTTTAAATTTTAAATTTCCTATTCTAATTAAATTAAATTAATAATTGATTCGTCATTTTAAATTTCAAATTTAAAATTTTCTCACTTTAATTATATTAACTTAACACCATTAGATTAAAAAATAAAATAAACTTAATACAGATTATAATGTGATATAACTTCACGTATTTATTTAAATTAACGATTATAATTTTATATAACTAAAAAAATCTATTAAGTAACAATTTATTTAAAAACAATTGATTAATAATTTTAATTTTTTAATATGAAAGTTTATTAATTTTATAACCGTGGTTCTCACGGGTTATGAACTAATATATATATATATATATATATATATATATATATATATATATATATATATATATATATATAATATAGGGTGAGGTTTAATAGAGAACTATAATTAACCAAGAAACCAATGAACCAATCTTTTTTTTCAACTTTAAGAGCTTATTTTTTATCAAAAAAAAAATACAGAAATTCATAACTTTTTATCATTTTTTCAATGATATCAAATTCGATAATTTTTTTTCGTCAAATTCATAATGTGAATCTTTAAATATTCACAATGTGAATCTAAATTCACACGGTGAATTCGAAAAATATATTTAACATTCACAATGTTAAGTTATGAATTTAGAAATTTTTTGTTTTTTTTTTCGATAAAAAATAAGCTCTAGAATTTGAAAAAAAATTTGGTTCATTGGAGAACCAATAATTATGGCTCTCATTGAACATATATATATATATATATATATATATATAGATATATATATATATATATATATATATATCATCATCAAGGAAAAATTAAAAAGGACTCTGTAGGGTAACTAACTATATAACTTTTGTACACACTTAATTATTATTTTTTTATCCGATTTACCATTAAACTAATATATATATATATATATATATATATATATATATATATATATATATATAAATACAATTTTGATAGACTATTGCATGTATAACTATTTACCTGTTAAAAATTAATCATTAAAATCATATTTTTTTTCAAAAATATCATTAAACTCATATTTTTATACGTACTTTTCCATTAAACTAGGGATGAGATTTAAAATCGAAAAACCGGACAAGAACCTGAATCGGAACTAGAACCGTTAGAACTAAAATATGTAGAACAGGTCCGGGTTCCAGGTTTAAAGAATGGCTTTATCCGGGTTCCGAGTAATGTAGGTTTTAGGTCCTTCGGTAACCAAAACTGGTGTTAGAAACCGGAACCAGTTTTAAGGGTTGAAATCGGTTTCTATGAAAAGTTTAAAACATGTATATCTCATTCGTTTGATATCGTACTAACATGAGGTTTTTTTGCAGAGTATAGTTATGTAACGACCGCAGATCCGAGCTAGTCAATTTAGAGACAATAAGCATCAAAAATGAATTTTTTATGAAATATTATTTAGAAGGATTAATCTTTTCCAAGTGGCAGTATATGTTACAAGGGTTCCATACATATAAAGAACGCCGAAATCCGAGTTATAACGAAGAAGTTATGACCCGTCGAAGTTTTTCGGCAAAACCGGCACGGCACCGGGAGACGTAAATAGTGAATTTACGATAGAGAACTTTTTAGCCTTAGTAATCTAAACAAAAGTTGTAGTATACGTTAAACCGAGAACATACAAAAAAAGAACGCCCAAATCTGACTTCGTATGAGGAAGTTATGAATTTTCTAAGATTTGACATTGCAGTGCACGACCCGAAACTCGAATTTTAGTTCGAGCGGTTTTTGGCCTACGCAACCTAAATGAGAGTTGAAGATCTCATTAATAGGAACTCAACGATAAAAAGACAGACGAAAACAGAGTCCGTATGAAGGAGTTACGAATTCTTCGCGGTCATTTAACAGTCTAATCTCCTCCTACTGTTAAATTTAAGATCGGTCGAGAATTAGCCGGCGGAGTCTAAATAAAAGTTGTAGATCTTGTTTTTACCTACGCGTGAATATAAAGAACGTCGAAAACGGAACTCGTATGCGAAAGTTATTAATTTTTGAAATACGGCTGATTTACCCCCTATGTGCGATGCCACGTGTCAGCACCAGACAAAGCCTTGGAGCCCAAGCCAGTTCATGACGTGAATTGAAGGTTCACGACGTGAATTGCCCCCAGACAGCCTATAAATAGAGGTGTCGGGTGAAGCTCATTCCTTACACCTTCAAACTATTCTTTCTCTCTCTATAACCTCTCTCTAACCCCCTAAACCCCCCAAAAAGCCTAGGGACCCCCCTAGCGCGAGAAGGAAGCCTCGGAGCTCCCGACGGCTCCGAGAAAAAGAGTTTTTCGGCTCGGAAACGCTGCTCTAGCGAAGCCCGGTTTTTAATAAAAACCCGCTGTAAGTGAGCTATGCCTACCCTATCTTTAGTATAACTTATGTTATAATATAGTAATGTTATTAGGACCTTATAATGAGTATTTAGGCTATTATTATGAGTTATATAAGTGTCGTTATAAAGTCTTTTTAACCACTCGCGGTACGGAGAATCTGGTTTGGAGGGCCGCTTGGGTTGCTGGATTTCAGAAGTGCTATATGCCAAAATGGTCCTGCCCTCCGGTGTTCCATGTCTGGCCCTTGTCTGTACATAGTGGGTGAAGAGTATTGTGTTAACGCTTATATAATAGTAATAATAGCTAGACTATTAATTAGTCTCGTCGAACATTAGACTAAACTCTAGTGGTAATGATACTAGGTTCTGTCAAAGGAGTTGTTTTAAAGTAAACAAAGCGATGTCCGAGTACCGAGTCACCACCTTATCAAGTGAGTGCATAGTTACTTTCATCTTACACATAGATATGAAGTATTTAATATAAATTACATTCTATGTGTGCATATTGTCTGTATACTTGCCGTCTATGCTGGGTGAAAGATTTTTATACATGTTTTAAATGATTTAAACTGTATATATGTATTTTATATCTACAAAATGTGTTGGGTAAACATGGGTAAATGAAATAGTTTCTGTCTGACAAAAACAAAATGATGAGAGGTGATATAGACCATGAGATAAGGGTGAGAGGTGAACCATGAGAGAAGCCTTTTACCCAAGTGTTGGCCCCGTCATCTAGCAGAGTATGGATGACAACCACGGACTATTCTAGACAGTCCAGTGGAACACTAGCAGGCTCGCAACATGTAGGTGTATTTGAACTGTGTATTCACCAGCTGTACTCTAAAAACCCATTGACATGTATTGCGAGTGGATTCTCGGAAACGATACTGTCGATAAACGAGATAACCCTGGCGACTATGAGACTTAGTGCATAAACCCTGGCGACTATGCGACTTAGTGCCTGTTGTATAAACCCTGGCGACTATGAGACTTAGTGCCTAAACCCTGGCGACTATGCGACTTAGTGCCTGTTGAGTAAACCCTGACAACGATGGATTTCGTGCCGTTTCCTTAGTATGATCCTTAGGAATGAATTAACGAGGAATAGTCGATTCTTAGGGTAGATCCTTGAGAGTAAAGAAGATAATGGGGATGGGTAACTGGGTTGATTGTTTGATGTTTAAACATAATAATTATATTATTGTGGGTTAAAAACCCTATGTACTCACCATGTTTCCCAACCTGACCCACTCAGTCTATTTGTATCACAGGTATCGATATGAAGTTACATTACACTGAGAGATTAAGGAGATATAAATCACTAGTGATAATGAATGTAAGTTCTGTTTATGCTTATGTTTCTGTATTGACGATGACATCCCAATATTTTTAAATGAATAAAATACATTTCTTCGGGAATGCTTTGATAACACATTTATCATGTTTTTCTGGGAACAAATTCCGCAACATTTTTATTAAAAGAAGTACTCTGATTTTTTTATAAAGCATAAACAAAATTGGTCTTTTCTGGCTGTGAAAATGGGGATGTCACAGTTGGTATCAGAGCATTAGTTTAAGCGAACTAGGAATATGGATTTATTTCTAGACTTAAACTTAGAATACTAAGCAATGATTGTGAGGAGTGTGTCTAATAAAATGTAGGTAATACATTTTGTGAAAACCGCCTTACCCTTAAACCCCCCGATCCCCTTTCCTATTGAATAACGTACCACCACTAACCACCTCTATTTAATGATACAATTTTATTTGTGGAATATGAGTTTGAATCAATTGGAGGTTTAATTCGATTTTACTACAGGTTGGAGTTCATTTTATATTAGTTTTTGGTGGTGGTCATGAATGGTGGTGATGGGTGTTGTGGTTGCGAATAACAATGATGTATAGTGATGTTTGTTTTAGAGGTGGCCTGTGGCGGTTGGAGATAGGCGTGGTGGTGGGAGTGGATGGTGTTGATCAGAGAAGATGATAGATACATAGCTTAATGGTAAATCGTATACAAAACAATTTTAACGGTAAATTATGTAAAAGATAGTTAAGTCGCAACGCCTCATCAAATAATTATTTTTGAATGGTTCCAATAAAATTTAGACAAAATTGCAAAAATGGTCCCTGTGGTATGCATTTTTTTGGGGTTTTAGTCCAAACCCTGATTTTTTTGGTTTTGTGGTCCTTTTGACTATGTTTGATTGTGATTTTGGTCCCTCGAAAAATTGAAAAGACTAAAATGCCATTTCTGATATATTTTTTATGTTTTTCCATTTTAATTTAAAAGAAAAAGAAAATAATTAATTAATTTGGACCCTCTCTCTCTCTCTCATAATTTGGGCCCTTACCCTTTTTACTTGATCGTCTTCTTCATCAAAACATACACACACCGAGATTAAAAGACACACATACTGAGGTAGTGACTAAACTCCGATGCATCCTTCTTCTCCGGCGACAGTGAGGCCACAAACTCCTCAGGTGCGACTTGAAGAGTTAGGAGGGTGGTGTTCTGTGGTGGTTCAATGATGACGATGCTGCTCACGGAGGTTCCATATGCTCCCGCTACCCCAACACAAACAACATCGAGCCTCTTCTACCGCTGTCATCTCCACTGTGGTCTTCAGCCTCCTCTACTGCTGCCATCTCCACTGTCTAAAAAGCCCCTCCGACACCCCCCAAGCATCTTCCATCGATGAAGATTTAGATCCGACATTTCCCTTTGAAATCGTCACTAGATTCACCTGCATCTTGGTGTCATACATCTTCTGGCGGTGTTTTGATGTTCATCTCCTACAATCTAGTTTGATACTAATTTAAATATATTTCATCGATTAAGTTAATGCTGGAAGTGATCGATCTGAAAATGGGGTCTACTTTAGCGGGTTTTGTAAGTTGAATCAAATCGATTCAGCCAACAGAGTGCTAGATCGGATGAGAAATCAAGGGTTTTCATCGGACATGGTTACTTACAATATTATGATCGGGAGTCTATGTAGTAGAGGGAAACTTGGATTTGCTATGAAGATGTTGAATAAGCTACTGGAGGATAATTGTAAACCTATGGTGATTACTTACACAATTTTGATCGAGGCCACCATTTTTGACGGTGGGATTACCGAAGCGATGAAGCTTCTTGATGAAATGCTGTCTAGACGTCTTCAACCCGATATGAATGTGATTTAGGGATTTTTGAAGTGATTTGAATAGAAAAGGGACTGTGAGGATGGTCAGAATAGGCTGTGTCGGGCGGTGGCAGTAGGTAACCTCGAATGTCTTGGTGGCCAGAAGAACGGCTCCAACTCCGGTGGGGAGTTCTTGGTCGTAAATGAAGAATCGGTCGGGAGAGAGAGAGAGAGAGAGAGAGAGAGAGAGAGAGAGAGAGGTGGGCCCTCTTATTTTTTAATAATTAAAATGAATAAATAATTATTAAGTTAGAAAAAAATGAATTTAAAAATGGAAAATAAATACCCCAAAGATATTACAGTCATTTCACTATTCACAGGGACAAAAAACGCAACGAAACTAGTTCAAAAGGACCACCAATCCAAAAAAATCGCAGTTTGGACTAAAACCCCAAAAAAATATATACCACAGGGACCATTTTTACAATTTTGTCTAAAATTAATGATAAATAGTATATACAAAATCAAGATAACTAAATGTATATAAAAAACAATAATATTATTCTAAAAGGTTATTCTCCCTACTGTATAATCATCATTATATTGAAACAAGTACATATAGCTAAGTTGTTTTTCCTTTTTACTTTATACTCTAATTGGGAATCTCACCTATTTGAGAACCTATTTGAGAAAGGGGTTCTTAGTCCTAGGAAAAAAAGTGGGTAGGTGGTTAGCATTACAAACTGAAAATCCTAACATCAAATTAAAAATCTCAAGGTCAAATTTGTCATTTTAAAACAAAAAAAAGAAACACTTTTGGCATCAAGCTCAGCGCGTTAAAAATTCAAAAATCACCCAAACGGCGGTAAGTTAACGCCGTTACCATTTCTTACTATATATATGCTCTTCCGCGTCAGACACAATAAATTTACTTAAAAAAATCTAGAGAGAGAAATTAATTGCAGCGTTCTTGAGGACTGTTCAAGTTCTTGGCAGATCAGACGCAGTAATCTGTAAGAATCTCATCACATTTTCACTGTTTTTTTGGATTTATGCAACTGTGCAGCTTGTTTATTGCATTATTCTTGTAGTCATAGAACTAATTGGATTCTACTTAGATCTACATTACTCGTCGATTTTTGGGGTGTTCTTTGGGGATCGGCTTTTCAGTTTTGATTTTTTTGGATTTTGATCGTTGTATAGGTCTTATGTGGAGGATTGTTACTGAAAATGGGAAAGTTTTGAGTAAAGTTTACTATGAACTCGTAATAGTTTAGGAAAATGTGGTATGTGAAACGAATATAACTAGCTCCGTTTTGTTAACAAGATAGAATCATAAAAACCTTTGGACGTTTTCAACACGATTGACTATTTTAGCTATGAATTTTGAAGGGTAGTTTTGATTTCTTTTTTGCGAGTTTTCAGTCTCTGAATTTAATGTTTTCTCATTTAGATGTCTTCCATTTGTACGTGCGTCTGTATATTTTTTAATAGCTGTAATTGTCAAGTTTGCTATGAGTCCTCTGAATTGCATTTTGCTGTATAATCAATAATCAATATTATGGTGTCATCCTTATCCTAATGCCTAACAAGTTATGATCTTGAAATTTCAATCTTTATAATCATACAAAGTTACAATTTCAATGTTACAGAAAAGTAACTTTTTTCCCCTCAATCTTGCTGAGTGGAGCAAACTATTTATGCTCAATAACTCAATTGATTAATTGACTATACACATTTCATTATTTGGTAAACTGTCATTTTCTACCTGTGTCTTACTTTATCTTAGACTGTACTTCTTACATCATTTGTCAAACACCATTTATATATGAATTTCTTGAATGGTAAGTCTTAATAATTCAACATTTTATAAATGATCTTGAATTCCATTGTTTTCTTTGCAGTCTAATGGGAATGGAGGTGGCTAATATATGTATGGACAAGGAGGTAGATTCTGTCACAATTGATTCAAATGATCTTTCAAGTAATGATACAACCAGTAACAATGATTCTTCAAAACCCTATGTTTCTATAAATGGAAACTCAAATGGGGTGAAGGAGTTTGAAGAGAAGAAATGTGTTACTGAAGAAATAGAACCTACAAATGAACATTGTGAAGATCAAAGACATGAGGAAGAAGATCATGACACATTGGAGAAGACAATATCTGATACTACTCAACATCAACAAACAGAAGGTGAAGTCAAGAAGTTGACCACAACAGTCAAACCTTTGACCAAATCTGCTAAAACAAAACACACAGTCCCACAGCCTTTTGCTCTTGCTACTGAAAAACGCGCGCAATGTGGAACTCGCCCTGTTGGCAATCCTGTAGCCAAGTCATCTCATTCAAAGAAAACAAATGAGGTAATTTCTCAAAGCTCAAATTGGAAATTTTAATTTTTTGTATTTTTTTTTAAGTTTTGTGATTTATGTTTACTTTCAGATAATTCCACCTTCAGTAGCGAGGAAGCCATTGCAACCAGATAACAAGAAGCATCCGGATGATGATGATTCTTGTTCTGTAGCATCTTCGTATCCACATATTTGTTTTTTGTTTTTGTTTTTTTTTTTTTTTTTTTTTTTTTTTTCTTCTGTGTTTGTTGTTGTTCTTAATTTTTACAAAGTACTGCTGCATCAGCAAGGACAATAATGTCCAAACCCACTTCTGCATCCGCTCCGGTTTTCAGGTGTAGCACACGTGCAGAGAGACGAAAAGAGGTGATTTTTTTTTTAATTTTTATTTATTTATTTATTATTATTATTTTTTAATAATTCTTGCATGTCAACGATAAACAGACGCCTGTGTACTGTGTTTGGCATGCATTGGACTGGGACCGACACCGATGCACAAAAATTGCAATTTTTTGTCCCACCCAAAAAAGATGGAACAGAGACTCCCTCTTGATCTTTTGTCGGTAAAAAAGACGTAAATGCCCTTCCTCACTCTTATCACCAAAAATAGCTTTACAAAGTTTGTACAGTCCTGTCCCATCTAGTCCTGTCCTGTGTAACAAATGCAGCCGTAAGGCTGCATGTGTTAAACAGGACATGATTGGATTGAACTGAACAAATTTTCTAGGGTTATTTTTGATGATGAGAGTGAGGAAGGGCATTTACGTCTTTTTTACCGACAAAAGATCAAGAGGGAGTCTCTGTTACATCTTTTTTGGATGGGACAAAAAATTGAAATTTTTGTACATCAGTGTTGGTCTCAGTCCAATGCATGTCAAACACAGTACACGGGCGTCTGTTTAATCTTTGTATTGTGTAATAAAAATAATACTAATTCCTACTATTTTTTTTTTTTTTTTTTTTTCAAATTGTGTCGATTTTCATCAGTTCTATTCCAAATTAGAGGAGAAACAACAAGCACTTGAAGCTGAGAAAGTTCAATGTGAGGCAAGAACCAAGGTACACAAATATCATTTATCTTTATATATTTTTTTTGTTAACTCTCTTCTTTATGCCATGTTTTCTTTTTTTGTCTTTTTGTTTTGTATATAAAAAAGGAAGAAAAAGAAGCAGCATTGAAGCAGCTGAGAAAGAGCTTGTTATTCAAGGCAAACCCAATGCCAAGCTTCTACCATGAGGGCCCACCACCTAAAACTGAGCTAAAGAAGGTAATCCATAAATTATCTAGACTCGATAAACCACTTGAACAAGACTTAATGACCATTTTACCCTTACATTCCCAAAAAAAACAACTTTCACAAATATTCATCAATTTTAACATGAGAGGAGCTGGAAGGAAAAAAGAAACTGCCCCGAACAGTACTTCAATAAACAATTATTATTTTTTAATTTAACATCATTTCTAAGCCGAAGGGTAAAATGGTCATTTACTTTCAAGACGGTTCATTAAGTTTAGAAAAAGAAATTATTGTTCAGTTTAAATTCCAATGTGTATTGGGCTTCTTGTCTGCATTGGGCTCTTATATAAGCTACCTGGAAGGGTAAAATGGTCATTTACATGTTTTTATTTAAATAACAGCCACCACCAACACGTGCAAAATCACCAAAACTTGGAAGAAGAAAAAGCTGCAGTGACACCACCGGTTTAGACAAAAGAAGTGGAGCACATGCTAGAGTTCGAAATAGCCTTGGAATCTACAGAGTGACAACAAATCAAAAGGACAAAATTACCCTTCAAACCACCACTGAAGAAATGGAGGACCCAAATGGGTCAATTTTGTCCAACATTACTGAAGACTTTGATGCTAAGATTGATATGCAATCTTAGAGGGAGGTTTTTATGGGTGAGGTTTTCTAATTTAATACAATTTCGATTGTATTTTTAAATTTTATTTTTAACTTTATCATGTGGTCATTATGATCTTGATTGAGAATCTGTTGAAGTTATTTTGTTGACATGTTTGGTATTTATAAATTATAATGTATGAGGTGTAAATTATACTCCAAGTTGTGTACTTATCTATGGAAGAAAAAAAAATGTTGTATTGTTGTAGATTGGTATTTTTCTCTCATACAATCTATTTAGTTTCATATATATATATATATATATATTTTTTTTTAAAAAATGAGACTTTTTGCTAGAACTTTTTTTAGATGTATTCTAATAAATTGCAATATATAATGTAGGTGTAAAAAAAATATGTTGGACATTTTTGCTAGTAAAATGATATAATTCTATTAAATATTTCATGTCACTTGTTGCAATTAGATATTGTCTTCTTATAAAAGTGGTTTCCACATACACATTAATAATTATTTTGTATTTTTAATATATTTTGATTATTTGTAACAATAATTATTTATTAAGTATTAACAAAAATATATTACTTTACCATAAACTTAAAGCATCATATAAAAGTTATTAATTTTGTATTATTATATTCCTTGTTAAGCTTTAAAATATCGTATTTGTCTAGTCTAAAATTTAAATATCATATTGACAAATCTTAAAAAATGGTACTTGTTTCCAAAAAATCGAGTTTGGTTCTTAACCTTTTTTTTTTCGTCTTCAAGGATAATCCTTGTGGTTTGGAAACTTTTAATGCATCATCCTTATGGCTAACACCGTGTATTTTTCTCCGTTAAGTCATAACATGTGTGAGGCATGTGAAGGCAAAATCGTCATTTATTTGAACCGTAGACCAAAAACCACATAAACAAAATGAAATATTTTGGATGTGTCAGTGTTTAAACATAAAACAAAATGTTTCTTCTTTAAAAAGGCTTTTTTAAATGAGATTATTAAATCTCAACTTGATAAGCATCTTAAATTTGTTAAACATATAGTAATGTATAATAGATATGACTTTAGTAAATTTTAAACTTGATTTTATTAAAGGGTGATTTTTTAGGTTTCTATCAAGTAGTTTTGATATATGTCAATCAAAACAATATTTCAAATATAAAACTATATATATGAAAAAAAGAATAACATGTCAATACGTGAACCAAGGAGGACGTGTTTAGCAAAATCAGTTAGTAGTTAGAAGCTAATACCTGATAATTATAACATGTAGTTTTTTATTTATACAAAATTGTTTTGTAAAACTAACTGTTAGTTTTTAAATGTGTAAAATTAGTTAAAAACTAATAACTAAAATCTTTGAAAAGCTCCGTGAGGTAGATTTTGTATTCAAAAATTTTTGTTCAAAATAAAAGCTAAAAATTCATGCTTTTTTTTTTCCGAGTTTTTTTTCATGAAAGTTAAAAATTAAAAGCTTACAAAAACTCTCAAAATCTCCATGTCAAACACACTCTAAAACTAGAAACATGTTTTTTTTTCTTAATGTAATTAAAAATACAAACCAACTATAAGTATATAACTAATCTATTTGATTTGGTTTTGGGATCCCAATCGGGATTTTAAAGACACTTTATTGAAAATAAAGACTTTTTGAATGGCTTTAACTTCGTGTGGACATAACATTTTTCTTTATGGCACTTTAGGATGATTTTTTCTTAGGGTTCACATGGACCTTTTTTTATTTAATACTACGCTTATTATGGTTTTCTTTACTTAAATTGGTCATATGATCAGGCTTATATAAAGACTTTAGATAATGTTTGTTAAGACAAAGTTTAGTCATTTTAGCTAATAATACGATTTTCTATAGTATATTTAAGAATAATAAGTTTAAATCTGGTATTTATATATGTACATACATATGGACATGTGACTCAAGAGTTTCTAAAAATTTATGTATGAAAAGCATGTTTCTTGCTTATCATAGACTTATTTAAGGGGCCATACATATGAAACAAAGAACTCTCTCTCTCTCTCTCTCTCTCTCTCTCTCATTTACAGTTGAGGGGAATGTTGTTTGGTCCGATATCGTTTTGATTGAATTCATACTGATCTCGGACCAGACTTCATTCCCCCTAACATGTGAGAATTCAACATACATAAACAAGAAGTCGACAGAAGGTGAAGTTTCTTGAGGTAAATACTAAATGCATATGTATGATTATGGTCTCATAGAGCATAGTTCTTACATGTTTTACCACTCTTAAATGTAAGTATCATAAGCAAGTCGATGATATGTTTGTTTTTCCATGATTATTAACACTTTGTCCTATGAAAACTATTTGCACGTATTATTTATTGATGTTGATTGTGACATTCAGACGAATTCCAAAACTATTATCTTATTACTAACATTTGCATAAGTCGGCATTACCATTTGTTGATGTCATGGATTTTGGTAGATCATATTTTTTTGTTTTTATCAATTATTAAATATCAGAAAATAAGAAAACACCATTGTTATTATGTTTGAATTCTTACATCTTTACCACTGGAACAAAGATGTAAAAATGTTAGTTTTAAAAGTTATCCAAACATTTAATCAATAAATAAAAAAGGTATTAGAATTATACTCAATCGAGCACTATATAATGCATACGCAACAAAAAAGTCTATTTGATAATATGGGATTGAGTTTCCTTTGAAGTTTGGCATGTATATTTTAGTCTCTACCAAGTCTATCAGGAAGTTGAATTGTGGAAATATGGCTAGTAAATAAACAAAGTGCTTTTTCCACATTTAGTTTTTTTTAGAACGCTACACAAACACTTTCTAATTTACTCTTAAATTAAACCATTATTTTAGACGAGACTTGAACCTCAATCATTTAAACTGAAGAATACATTGTCAACAGTTTATACCGAAGGCCCTTTGGTTTTTTCTACTTTTAGTAGTTGGAAAACTTGAAACAAGTCATCCAAGTGGACTTTGCTTGTAGACAGTTAGAAAGAATATTAACCAAAAACCTTTCACTTTCTTATTTATTCAAAAGGCTGAAATAGTAATTATTATCTATTGTATATGTACATGATGTAAAGAGCTTTACTCATAACTTTGATTAAATTTTAATTTAATAAGATGATGTAGTATAATCAATGTAACGAACATAAAAGAGTATTGTTTTTGTTCTCCTGCAATATTTGATTGTTATATAACATGTTGAAGATATTCCGAAAACATTTTATTACATGTTTATTTTTATATGTAGGTTCTGAAGATAACATCTATTAAGATGTTATTATTTGCTTACAAAGCCTCAAATGTTTTCTGTTTATAGGGGTTTTAGAGTTTCATTAGGAGACTGTAAGGTTAATATATAAAACCATTTAGATGTTAACTTTTAATCATTGCATATATTACATCTTTTTTCTCTAGTATTTTCTTCGGTCATGTGACCTTTTAACAAAAATGTCGTTTCATAGTATTTTTTCTGGTTTCCGGTCCCCATTTTATATCGTTATTTGTTGTTATTTGTGTTTGTTTATTTTCTAACAAATGGTATCAGTGCTTTTAAATATCCAAATCACACATACGAGTTGATCAATTCCCTTTGCAGTTTTGACTTTTGAGTTGATCGAGTTTCTTGATCATTAACTTGTTGACTTTGTTCTTCATAATTATTTTTTTGTGAACAACAAATTTATCTATTTCTAAACTACTTATAATCCATCTTATATCTCATACCAGACTTGAACCCTAAGACAATATCTGATATCGCTGCTGGACTAGTCATTTTCATAAAACTTTTAGAAGACTTTTTTTTAGCATTTTCATCGATCACATAAGCATCGCCTATGGTTTATTTTTCTTTTAAAACCCACTAAATATCAGCCCATCATCGTTTTTTACAGGCCTAATAATCAAGTTCTTTAAGCTTCAAACGAGACAAAAATCGATTTTATTGACCTTCGTATTAGTATCTTCAACTTTTTTTTTTCTCAGCACACATATTTCAGCCACTATATATAAGCCACATCAAGCAACTAAAGTACTACATGCACTACATGCAAGCTTCGTTAATTGTTTTCTTCCCATAGCTTAAATTAGGCACTTTCTTCCCTTTTCAGGCCAAAATTCTTACCCCATTGTTTTTATTTTTCTTTAGTCCACATTAATAGTTTTTTCAAGCCGTTCCAACCTATTTAAATTGTAATATTCCAACCATTTATTAATCGTTTATTGACCCTTATAGGTAGTATGGAGGTTGGGGAAGCCCACAACACACCTTCTTAATCAAAATCAAAGATCCAATTGAAGCAATTGAACCCAAGAAGTTGATTAGCCTTAAGAATGAAATCCCCAATTCCTAAAGGATGTCAATGCTTACACATCCATAAAGGAGCTATGATTCATAAGCTAGAGATGATTTCTACCATCATGAAGCTCTTGTTCTAAGTAAATTCAATGATTCAATGCAAAAATAAACCAACAATTGCTCTTTCAAGTACCAAGCTCATGATCAACACATTAAACAAGCATAGGAAATATGAACTAGAGTCATAGACATAAGATAAATGATAAATAAACATGAATCCTTCAAAAACCCACAAACATTCAAAGGTTTTAGCCAAGGTTGACCAAAATAGAGAAATTAGCCACTCTTGGCAACAAAATACAAATCACAAAAGTCTAATTGGATCAAGAAACTAACAATTACTTTGGAAGATAAGAAGAATGTGTATCCAAGCTCCCAAAACCGCCTCCTCTGGTCTCTAATGGTGTAAAATCGAAGTGATGGCTGAAAAGTCCAACCCCAAAGGTAAATGGTAAACAAAATGACCAAAACGCCCAAAAATGTGCAGTTGCGCGGGTACCCACGCGCCTGAGATTCCACCCTCGCAAGTGTTGCTGGAATGTTATTGGTCCATTCTTCTCCACAAACCATTCCACTACCCAAGATTCCCTTGATCCCCTCCATATCCCACATGATCAAATTAACCAATATCTTTTAGCTTCAAATATGGATGCTCCAAGCCCAAAATAACAATCCATGACCCATCTTCACAAGCCCACTTTATCCAAGTCTTTAGCTTCTTAAGCCCAAATCTCTTTTTATGAATCTGCAAGGCCCAATAATGCATCGAGAAGCCCACTAAGCCCAACTCCAGTCAAACCGCAACCGCAATGAGCTCCAAAACCCTGCAAAATATCTCATGCAAAATAGAAAGTACCCGACACGATCCATGATA